CGATGCCAAATTTTAAAGAACATTAACGTCACTAGGCAAAAAATTCCTATCCCCAAGGGAAAAATATCTTTATTCCAAAGTTATAGAATCCAGCAATAAGTTAAGAAGAATCAGTAGAAGGTTGTCGTCATTTAAATCCAAAGTTTCTGCTGCTGAATTACTTGCATCATAAACCAAATTTCAAAGGCTCGTAGACCACGTCAATCCATTGATATACAGCTTTATTTTAAGCCAAGTCCGTACTCAAAACCAAAAGCCTAAAGCTAGACGATTTACATTGAACGAGAAGTTGTTGGCGTTGTCTTTGCTTAAAGCTAGTGGTAAAGGGTATAGACTATTATCAAAAATATTTATTCTATCATCCAGGCGAAATCATTTTCTTGAATGAGCTTTATATTATGTATAACTACATAAACTTTCTACCTAACACACGCGGAAAGTGTATTTTCTGGACTTAAAGGCTTGTCCGAACTCTGCTTTTTGTTGTCATTCTTGCAACTTCCATCACGTGCAGAAACACTTTCCTCACTTGTTAGGTTAACAACGATTTTGGATTGTGAGAAAAGGACCTCTTTTGTCATTTTATTTACGATTTAAGTTTTTCATCAAGCTATTGTTAAATGTACGTCATTACTTCTTGTAACTGTCCTTATTATCTTTAACTTAACTAGCATTACCTACCTATGTATGTATTTACATGAAAAAAAAAACTGTTTCGCATAAATTGTAATTAATTCCATATTCTTTAATATTTTCTGTTTCAAACTTTAATAAATATCTAAATTTGTTATCTTAATTCTTAGTCAATTTTACCTTGAAGGCGCTTCAACACTACCGATTTTATGAGTTTCTTCTTTTTGGCACAATTATTTTATGCCAAAAAATGGTAGAAACTTTAAAGTGGTGGTGTTGAATCGCTAGAATCAAACAATGGTGCAAACGATCCACCGGAACGAATAAGATACCGAACGAACCCTAATTGCGTTTTGCATTCGCCAATAAATCCAGAATTACAAAAGCTTACCCCCCCAGTCACTAGAGGCGCTGAAAACTTATAGACAGGTTCTCAACACGGCACTTACCTTTCTAAGGGGGGATGTTTTGTGATCAGTTTCAACTGTGAAGTTACTAATTCAAGCTTGGGGTCAGGCCACATAGCTTCCGTGAATCACTCCAAGTTTTTGGGACTCCTTATTGACGAAAAACTAAAATTTTTCCCCCATATTATTAAATTAAATTCAAAACTGGCCTCCGGTTGTTATTCTGTTCGAGCGACCTACCAAGAGCTTGGCACGGAGATGGCAAGAAATGTCTATTTTGCTCTGGTAGAGTCACACCTTAGGTATGCCTTACCATTCTGGGGAGCTTGTTCACAATATTTGTTTGACACTGTTTTCGTTTTACAGAAAAGAGCGGTGAGGAATCTCATAAATGCACACCCACATACACACTGCAAACCAATTTTTATTAAACAAAATATCCTTACTCTACCTGCCTTGTTTATCTTGGAAACAGCCTGCTTAATTTATAAAAACAAAAATACATTTCCTATTCAAGAACACACCTACAATACTCGCCATAATGGTAATTTGCGTTTACCAATCCCTCACTCCAGTCTTGTCAGAAGCTCCTTTATCTACAGTGGAATTAAAATTTTTAACCACATCCGGCCTCAAATTAGGGGTTTACCAAATCTTAAATTGTTTCGTGAAAATTTAAAAACGTTCTTACTTGGAAAGGCTTTTTATAGTATTGGCGAGTTTCTTGACGGTGAGTTTCTTGATCTGGATCAGGTACCGGTTTCTTAAGGAGCTTATAATTGTTGCTTAGCAGATTGAATTTTTTTTTCTGGACCACTTTGACAAAACCAGTTTGTATTGTCTTATTATGTTGTATACATTACTTTGTCTTTTTATTTTTATTTTTACTTTTATTTTTATTTTTAGTTTATTCATTGTTTGACTTCAGCATTTTGAATGTTATATTCTTATTTTGTATGTTCATATTCAATGAAGTGTATGTCTCCAATTTTATAATTGGGTTTTGTATTTTGTGATTACTAATTTTAGTTTTAATGCTTGTGATTTTTTTTGTTTTGATTGTTATGGAAATCTAGTTTTTAGACTGCTATTACAATGATCTTACGAGGATATTCTTTTATAAGTGATTTTTATATGTATGTACTAGCTTTGTCCACAAAACAATTTGTATCGTTTTTATGACAATAAAGCACATTATCTATCTATCTATCTTAATATACAGGGTGTCACGAAAGGTTTGCTACAAATTTCTAGGGATGGTAGATCTCGTAAAAATTAAGTTTTTTTTTTTTGATAAACATATGTCTGGAAATGCTTCGCTCTCCAGATACAGAGTGTTAAATTTATGAAAAAAAGCCAATTTTTTATTAATTCTTAGAAATGCGTTAGACGAATTGAATGAAATTTTCATAGTTTGTTGACACCTTTATGAGGTATCTTTTGGACTGCTCAGAGTGCCACAGGTTCTGTCGGATGGTTTTTTGCATGAAAAACGTCGTCCAGTAGATTAATTTTCAATTAGAATATGGGATATGTTTTTTGAATAAAACACTAAAAAATACAGCTTTTTTGTCTCTTCATTTTTTTCCGTATGCTGCTTTGTTTTCGAGATAAAATATAAAAACCATTTCAGGCGAACCACGTCACTGACCTCCATAAATAAAAAAATAGATTGCTCCAGAATTACCTGAAATTTTACCAGGCTATTTGTTGCTTGTAAATAAAAAAAAATAAAAAAAAAAAAAAAACAAAAAACATTTTTTTCTTAAAACGCACGTACTTCTGAGAATTATAGTAAAAATTGATTTTTTCTACAAAGTTTTACACCCTGTATATCTGGAAAACGAAGCATTTCCGAACACACGTTTATTAATAAAAAAGCTTTATTTTTACGAGATCTACCATCCCTAGAAATTTGTAACAAACCTTTCATGACACCCTGTACATAGATTCATAATACCTAGGAAACGAAATACGTTAACATACCTATAACAACCTGGGGGCATTATAAGCCCAGCAGGCGTTATGATCCATAACGCCCGCTTGTAATACCCTGAGGTGTTTTTGTTGTTGTTGTTTTATTAATTTGCACTTTACCCTAGGCAGCCAGCAGCCACTAATGGCCGATTGCAAAGTTTGCCTAAACAACGTTTAAGGCCCGAATTCACCAAAAAACGCTGAAATCGCCGTTTTCGTAAACGTCGTTTATCGTAAACGACGAAAATTAAAACGCAGTTTTGTTATGCGGTATTCACCGATATGTGTGATGTGTTTTTCAGCTGCAGTTTAACGAAACGGCGTTCAAGTTAATACGCAGTTTGACAACATCGGAAATAGTAAGAAATAAAAGAAAAAAGACGAGAAAATTTAGGTTACATATGTCAAGTTTCACTCAAAATTTATTGTTGCCGGTGTTATGACAAGATAATTTGTATTGTTATTGTTAATTATTCTAAAGTAGATAAAGCATAGAAAATGGCACTACAAGAATAAGAATATAGCTCATCAGGACTAGGTTCGGGCTACTAATAAGAAGGATGATGGTAGAAATATTTCAGCAGAAAGAATATTGCTTGTGGATGCAATTGCAGGATTCATTGCCGAAATTAGTAGGTATTTTCTATTACACAAAAAAAAAACAGAACAGAAGACTATGCACTATTCACCAAATCACCAAAGTAGTTCCATTTTTTGTCCCGAATTATGGTAAACGATATTTTAATCCATAAACGCCGCTTTGCTCCCGACAGTAGTTTTAGGAGCAAATTACGGATTGGGCATATGGTGAATTCCATTTGTAGCCGAAACCGCGTTTAAGATTCTAAATCAGAGTTTTAGTGTGGTGTCACACATAGCGTTTTCACCGATGCGGCAAGAACGCTTCGGTTTGAGGAAATGGTGTAAACCCATTGTATTAAATCGGAGCTGTCACATACAGCGTTGTACCGCACCCAAACCGGATGCAACCGCATCATGCTGCGGCGGCACCGCACGACCGGACGACCGCAATAGAACGAAAACACGTGCAATTGTATGTTTGTAGTCACACCTGACGGTTCGAACGCAGCGGTTCTTCAGAGTTCGTGGTTTGTTTTTTCATTACATTTCATCATGTTTAACGTAGATCTATCCTATGAGTGCGTCTACGGTAAATAAGTATTATGGGAGAAAAGGTCGAAAGAATACTCAGATAACAACTGTAGAGAGAAAGCCTGGGTGGAATTTGGAGAAACTATGAGAGAATTGGATGGAGCTTGACTCAACAAAGAAAGATGAGAAAGGTTATTTAAAATAATCTTTAATAAATTCGCCATGAATCTACCACTACAGAACATCCCGTTAAAACGGATCCCGATGGAATGAGTGTGACAAGTAGAGTTCATCCGGTCAAAATGCATCCATTCTTGCCGCAGCGTTAAAAACGCATAGTGTGACACCGCACTTACACGTTGGTGAATTTGGGCCTTAATGATTAATCATTGTTTAATTTGGTCCGACCGAAAATAATTTTCGGTCTGGCCAGGATTCGAACCCGGTTTACCATCAACGTTTTCCCATGTGGTCGAGCGCGCTAACCCACACGACCACCGTTGTCTTGCCTTATGAGATGTTTATAAATATATTATTTCGTTTCTAGGTACAGGTACAAGTACATGTCAAAATACAAAACAATATTCTGTCACACAAGTTTAACTGATTTTGTTTGATACTAAATTGATGAAAGAACATGGTGTAAATAAAGCATTGTATGCACCACGGGGATTATTAGATTATAATGCCCTTCGGGCGAAATATATCCCTCTCACATGCGGAAAGTGCCTTTACCGCACTTAACGGCTTGACCGAACTCCGCTTCGCGTCGTTTGGTCAACTGCCGTTGCGTGCGGTAAAGTATCACTTTCCGCATTTGTTAGGTAAATAACTATTATGTTTCAGTGTAATTATAATATCATTACTTACCCCTCGAATATCCCTCCCACCGAAATTCCCATCGTCGCCGTCATCAGCATAACCACCACCACTACCGCTCAGGAAATTGGGCACATTTTGTCCAGCTTGCTTTAAAATGTTGGCCAACTCTCCGGCTAAAGGACGATCTTGAGACGCATCATAAAAGCTGGTGGCTTTTCCTCGGTTGCCCACACGTCCTGTACGGCCGATGCGGTGGACGTATTCGTCCACGCTTTTGGGCAAATCATAATTTATGACATGTTGTATGCCTTCTATGTCCAGTCCTCTTGACGCTACGCCAGTGGCTACCAAAATTTTACGGATGCCTGGGAAATAAAACAAGAATAATTTGAACCTTCTCAACCAGACTTCTTAAATTCCAATTGAATTTATGTCTTTTACCCTTCATTCCCTAGTCCCTAGTCATTTCAAAAACATTTTAAAGTAATATTTTCAAAGATGATACTGTTATATTGAAAGAGGATATTGGTATACCATAGATATTTTTTTAAAAAAAGGATCAAAACTTTTTTATTTTTTTTTAAGTTTTTGATATTTTCGTCTCCTACCGATTTTGAAGCCAATTTGAGGAGGTATTCTAGAAGATTATGTGTAAAAAGATGGTAATGGTAATCCATCTAAATTCCGAATCTTTTATTTGTGAATATTATAATAAAAAAAGTTTAGTTCAATTTTTTTAAGGAACTAGAATTGAAACGATGTTTTGATATTTGTCAAATTTATAAATTTGGTATATCTATCCATTTTAGGAAAAGTTCACATGAAATCAACAACATTTTTCTTAAAACTGACCAGAGATTTGATGCCCAAAGAACTGAAATTTTAACAGTTGTATCCAACATTTTCTTTTAAGTAAAATCACTTCTGACTTCAAAAGCAATTGAAATCCTATACGAATTTTGAAAATAGGTCCTAAAAGTGCATTTAAAGTTAAAAGAGATTGTTGAATACAGCTGTAGATCCTTTTAATGGAAGAAAAAAACACATTTTTTACCTTTTTTAAACTCCCACAAAGCCTCCTCGCGCTGGCTTTGCAATCGGTCACCATGAATACTGGTCGATGAAATTTCATTTTCACTTAGCAAAGTAGCCAAAAAGTCAGCATTTCTTTTGGTCTCGACAAAGACCATCGTAAGTTCTTTGCAATCTTTTAGCATTTCCAACAGCTTCTTGCGTTTATCAAATTTGGTTACTTGGAAGAAGTTCTGTTCCACATCGCTAGAGGCGCTGCCTACGATACCCACTGATATGAAGGCGTAATTATGTAGAAATTTGCCGGCCAGATGCTGGATTTCTTCGGGGAATGTTGCCGAAAACATCAACGTTTGACGTTCGCCCTGAGAAAAAAAAGCCACAAATCAATAATATACATAATTCAATTTATTATTGTTAATTTTTCTCTCTCAACATCAAATATATAAACAACAACAACAACGGGGTGTTTTCTATTTTGGGATTTTCCTTGCAGATGACATAGAAATAGGAATTTTTTAAATAACATTTTCTTAAAAATTCAAAAATAAAGGAGGCATTTTATAGTTATTTATGTATCAAGGGTACTAAGTAGATGATTATGCCCTGAGGGCGACAGTCTTACAACGTAAGTCGCCCGAGGGTATATATATCTATTAGTACTCGTGGTGCATACAAATTTTTATGTCATACCAGTTGGTTGTGAATAGTAAATACCTGGGAAAAAAGTGTCACTTCCCAAATTGTCATCAGTGTGCAAACATCATCATTTTTTGACAAAAATAATATGTTTATAAGCGTAAATTTATATTTTGTTGATAAAGAATAAGTTAATTGGAAAACTGTTTTTTGCGTCTTTATGCCCGCGCGGGCCATAATGTGTACTTTATGCCCGCACGGGCATAAAGTAATGAATTATGTAGATGGTATCTAAGGTATAAAAACACAATAATGTATTGGTATGACATAAAATATTTTTTTTTATTGATAACCTATTTTACGTATTTAAAGTACTCCTCAGCGTGTTTAAATCCAACATTCAAAAACGCGCGTGTTTCAAAGTTACCCATGACAACATCAACAACCCAATTAAAGCCAAGTACTCATAACTGCGAAATTCCTTTTTTTTTACATTGCTCCGATAATTTGACGTTTGAATCACGCATTTAACATCAAAGCAATGTCAGAAAAGAGCAAATTTCGCTGTTATGAGTACTAGGCTTAAGAAAGGTAAAGTCTAGTTAAAATGTCAACTTTTTAATTATGGATTTGTCAAGCGTAGGTACTTGTAGATAACGTCAAATAAAATATAAAATGTGTTTTTTTTTTAAAGATAAAAGTCAAAATGACATTATGTTGGCAATACAATGTAAAGTTGTCATTGCCTTCAAAATTTTCATGTAGAAAAGGCTTGTGTTGCCAACAAAGTTACTAAATTTTTGACTTGGGGAATTATCTTTAAAAAAAAAAACAGACTTTAACAAGCACGAATTAAGCATTCTACAATTTATGATTTGAAAATATACCAATAAAAAAAAAATAGTGTAAAGTATTCGTGGATAACCTGGCTTTCCTCAGATGAAGAGAATTACTTTAATTTCCATGGTTATCAGTCAGTGTATGTCAGTAGAAATAAAAGAGGCGGTGGAGTGGGAATATTACTGAGAGATGTTTATACTTTTCAGGAAATAGCGAAATGTGAAGCTGATTGTTCTATGGTCTTTGTTTGTGTTGAGGAGGTGGATATTATTGTTGGAGCTGTCTATAGGCCTCCCGACTTTGATTACAACACCTTCATGGGGATTCTCAATGAGCAGGCTAATACCCTCTCTGGCAAAAATAAAACTTCATGGATACTGGGTGACTTTAATGTCGACTTCTTAAATAATAACATTCAACGAGATTTACTTCAGCACACAACGGATTCCAATGGTTTTGCAATTATTAATCAGACTGTTCCGTCAAGAGTGACAAGCAACACTAGTACTTTGATTGACTATGTGATAACAAATCGATGGTTCTCGAGAAAAGTGACATAAGTCAAAAAAGCTAATTTTTGCGGTAAAGGTGAGAAACAACTTCAAATTGCATATATTTTTATCTGGAAAAATGTCACAAGTGAAACTCTACGTTTTGTTAAGAGATGGCCCAAGTGTCATTTCGTGTATTGATCGATTTGTATCGACGGGTTTCTAGAAAACTGCCACAAGTCAGTTGATTCCTAATCATGTTAGGGGAAGTGTCATCCATTTGTCTAGAAAAACGTCACATGTAAAAAAGTGCCGTCCAAAATTAATATTTCACCCGGATTATTCCACGAAAAGCGGCATATATCAAAAAGTGTCAGAATAGAATACGCTTAATTTATCAAGAAAAGTGTCATATTTTGTGTTGTGACGTATTGATGATAAGGTAAGTCCAACAAACCGTTTACTTTTATCAGTATGGTGAATCTTTTAGAGTTTTGTCAGTTTTCTTGAAAACTTTTAAATTTATTGAACGACTTAACTAATGATCTTTGGAGTTAAGTCTCTTTTCTGGAAATAATTATAGCATGTAATAGTGGGTACAAATACCATTTTGGAGTTGTATCAGTTGTATTATCATTAATTTATCATTGCTTTGTAGAAATGGCAGGAACACGAGGAAGGAAAATTTTGGAGATGGTGTATAAAATCAATACCACATCCAATGACCGTCAAAACGACGAAACTATAGTAGACTTAAATCAGGTTCCACCACAACAAGGTATACTTTACTGTTAGTTAAACATTTCAATTTTTAATTATTTTTGTAAACAATCAAGAGAACAATATCTGGATGTCCTTTAGTGCTGTTCAGTCGAGTCCTTCTATTTTGCATTGAAAAATGATTTATCTACAAACAACATTTCAGATTCAAACGAAAGTTCAGAGTTTAACTCAACATCAGCTACCGATCAATTATCCAATTCTGAAATACTGAAGAGAGAAACAAATTTGCATCAGATGCCACCTGAAGGTGAAATTGCTTGTTCAACTTCCCACCAATCTTCTACTTCTGGTATACCAAAAGAAACGCATGTGCATCAGATGCCCCCTGAAGGTATGATTTTTGATTAGTAAATGGAAATAAGAATAATATTTTAAAAATAATATTAAATTAAAAGAGAAGACGTAAAGATTATATTGTTTACTTTGTTTCAGGTGACAGCAATCCTTTAGATTTTCACCCACCATCAAGTTCACATCAGTCGTTAAGTCGCGAAGTACTGGAATCGGAAGCAAATAATCAGCAGGAGCCTTCACCTGGAGGTGCGATTTTTTGTCACATATATTTTTTTCAAGTTAAGATTTAGGTACATATTATTATTATCAATAAAAATATTCAATTTTTGTTTTAGATGAAAACACTTTGCCTTCAACGTCTACTCATCAATCGTCATCATCAGATTCAGATTCTGATTCGTCCTCATCAGATTCCTGCAGTTCAAGCGAGGACTTTTCAAGTGACGACAGCTTGGAAGATCCCAACTATAATGATTCTTCATCTTCTTCATCCTCTGAAGTAATACCTGAAGAAGTAGAATTACAGAAAAAAAGAAAAAGGAAGGCTGACCCAAACACATGGGAGAAAACTGCTGCCAAGATTCGCCGTAATTCTGGGAAAGAATATGTATCCAGTTCTAAGAGCAAGAGGATTTATGGTGCTAAAAAAATTGGAAAGGCATGCACTAATAAATGTAGACTACAGTGCGCTACAAAAATACAGGTAGAAGAAAGGCAGAAAATATTCGAAGAGTTCTGGAAACTAGGCGATATCCAAAGACAGCGTCAGTTTATCCTATTTAGTATGGAAAGTATTTCCCCTAAATACCAATATAAAAGAGAAAACAGCAATAGAATGTGCAATAATGCATTTCATTTTCATATTGGGGGAAATAAAGTACGCGTATGCAAAACATTTTTTAAGGGGACCCTAGCTATAACTGATCGCCCAATTCGAACAGTGCTTCATAAGAAACAACAATCAGTAAGCGGAATGATAAGCACAGATTTAAGAGGCAAACACAATAATCATCGTAAAATTGATGATGCAATAAAGGAAGGAGTTCGGCAACACATAAATTCGATCCCCAGAATAGAGAGCCATTATTGTAGGAAGGATTCAAAAAAAGAATATATTGAAGGAGGAAAAACCGTAGCAGAGTTACATAGGGACTACGTCGAACAATGTAGAGAAAACAAGCTTCCTCATGCCAATTACTTAATGTATTTCAGAGTGTTTAGCGACTTCAATATTTCCTTTTTTCAGCCCAAAAAAGACATGTGCGAGGATTGCGTATCATTTACCAACGCATCGGAAGAAGAAAAGGAGAAGTGTAGGGTGAAGTATGAAAAACATCTTGTCGAAAAAGATCTAGCGCGAGAAGAAAAGACGAGAGATAAGAATAATGTGAATAATGATTTAGTTGTCGCCGTGTACGATCTACAGGCGGTTCTGCAATGCCCGAGAGGAAATAGTTCTTCTTTTTATTACATTCATATCAAAAATTAATGTTTTTAATTTCACGATTTTTGAGCTGACACGGAACATAGCTAAATGTTATGTTTGGGATGAAACAGAAGCCAACCGTGGAGTTAATGAAATTGGAAGCTGCGTTTTGTTGTATCTGCAAAGTTTAGAAGAACAAGCTAGCAAAACTTCTAACAAAGTATTGGATGTCATATTTTATTCAGACAATTGCTGCGGTCAGCACAAAAACCGTTTTATGATGTCCATGTACCTATTTGCTGTACAAAAATATTCGTAGGTAATACCATAAGAGCTCAGATTTAGCCGGATATTTTTTGGCTTGGTCTCGAATACTTACTTTTAGGAAATTTAACGAGAGCTGTTCCGACAATATCACGAGAGCGCAGCTCGAGTGATTTTATGGAACAGATCGAGATAAATTGCATGAAAGTAAGTATGAGAGAGCAAGCAGAAAAATATCCTGCTCAAAATCTGAGCTCGAATGGTATTTAGTACGGCAATTCCACGAATGCATAATCAAAATAAAATATGGAAATACTTTTTAAAATGAACAGTTATTGAAGGTACAATTAGAATAAATATTTTGCCCCTTAAAATTTGACTCTACAGAAAGAGAAGAAGACTCTGTTTTCTCAGGAATTGAATTTTCTATTTCGCTATAAATTCATCTTTAATTGTCCCAAATCGCTGCATGTTGAAAATATTTTTAATTTTATTTAAAAATACACTTTTAATAAGCTAAAATGATAGAACTTGTGAATTTTTGTGACAATTATTTGACAGATGATTCAAAAACCAATTTTATATGCAATTGTTACTACGGTAACGATTGCATCAACAGAAAATTTAT